ACAAAACAGATCTGATTTCTTTTCTTTTCTCTCTCTTTGTCTCCAAAAGAAAAAACGGATAAAAATCTCTCTCTCTCTCTCATATAGATCCAGATCTAGATCCGGAGTTTATCATTTATTTTTGAAAATATATATGGTTTTGTTTGATTTGTATTGCAGATCTGAGTTTTTGATTCAATTTTGGTTACAAATCTAAGGTGTTTGATTCAATTTGGGTCACAGATCTGAGTTTTTTATTCTTTCAAAGTTATTTTCGTATTTGATGTTTTTCTAACTAATCTAGGATTTTGACGTTTTTTATAAACAGTTTATAAGAATATGTATTTTCTGTAAATACTTTATAAAGTTTTTAAACAAACCTGCTCAAATTTTTTATAAGGTTTTTAAAGGGGATTTTTGAAACATTTTAAAATGTTGTATAATACTTCATCGGTAAGGTTTTTAAAAGGTTTATAAACTATTTATAAGACTATGTAGCTATCTATAAACATTTTATAAACTTTTTAAACAATTTATAAACAGTTTGAAATGTTGTTTAAAATGTTTTGTAAAATAATTTAAAATGTTTATATGATTTTTAAAAGGTTTTGTAAGACAATTTTAAAACTTTTATAACTCAAATGAAAACCCTAAGACCTAAACCTACTCCCAAAAACTATACTCTAAATTTAAAATAGTTAACCCAAACCAAAAAAATTTAAAAGTGTTCGGTGTTTGCGTCTGCGTTTACATCTGCGTTTGTATCTGCGTTTATTGTGATAAGATTCTTTTTCTTCTTCTTAAATCCACCAGATCCAATCTCAGATCCATGTTTTTTTGGAAACTTATTTTAGATCCATATTTTTCTTCAGAAACAACGACGATATAAGAGAGTTAGATCAGATCTTACGACGCGAGATCTGATTCATAGAGAAAGAGATGAGATATGGTTCAGAGAGATAGAGATGAAATCTGGTTTATGAGAGAAAAAATCACGTATCTATGTTCTTAGTCAAATTCACCACCAGATCTGAAAAAATTAAGTTAAATAAATTAAAGGATAATGTGGGATTATTGAAAAAAAAAATGGCACGCTTGCAAAAGCTTTTAAAAGGTGTCAGTTTTACAAAGAAGCATGTGAAAAGTGGCATATCTCAAAATTTTGCTTTATTTTTTTATGAATGTGAAAGATGGATTCCTTTTGTAATAATTAATAAATTTCGGGTTCTAAAATATTAAAGAAAGATCAATTAGACATGGGAAAATTGCAAAATGATACTTTTGAAATACCATTTTACAAAATATCATTATAATTTTTAAAAATATCACAAATTAAAGATTTATGGAACAATTGCAAGATATTATTTTTGGTGTGTCCATTTTCAATAATGTATGGGTTATCCATTTTCAAAAATGCAACTAATTAA